CATGTCTGTTTCTGCATGCCTGGTCTCATGTCTGTTTCTGCATGCCTGGTCTCATGTCTGTTTCTGCATGCCTGGTCTCATGTCTGTTTCTGCATGCCTGGTCTCATGTCTGTTTCTGCATGCTGAAGGCTGCTTCTACGCCTTCCAGAAGGTGTGCGTCACCTACTGCTTAAATGGTGCGATTGGCTTTAATTATATATCTTTAGACTGTAAGAACAGTTTTAAAGACTTTAGAGCACATTCCCAGTCATATTTAAACCTGCATGGCATTTTCCATTTCAGCTGCAGTAGATACGAGACCACTTCTGCTGTGGCTTCATGCTTGGTAGGTGCGGTGCCCTCTGACAGGCTGTAATCTTACGCTGCCAGAGCAGCTGTCTTCCTACGCTCCCCCGGCGACACGGAGCGCAGGCAGGGCTCTACCACGAACGACAACCCAACATCCGCCCAAACCGAGACAGAGAGGGAAATACCACACCTGTACAAAACACATTCACCAACCAGCCAAACACAATGTTAGAAACAGACTTAACACTGCTTCCCCACAAAGAAGAAAAGAAAAAAAACACTCCACAGTCAGGTACTGATGTCCATTTTCACTATCTACAGGAAAGGGTCATTCATTATGAATGAATTCATTATGAATGTAGAATTTTTCTTTCTTTGTTATTGTTCACCATTGTGTAAATACTTCCCAGATCAGGGAGGTCATGTTCACTACTGCACGTACTTTTAATGCATCATGCAAAACTTTCACCACATGCATAACCCATCCATCCATCCATCCATCATCTCCCGCTTATCCGAGGTCGGGTCGCGGGGGCAGCAGTCTCAGCAGGGAAACCCAGACTTCCCTCTCCCCGGCCACTTCATCCAGCTCCCCTAACCTTGCCAAAAATGAAACTCAAATAAAAATGACAGTGTCCTTAGTGGGTGGTGCAGAGCTGGGGGTGCACACTGGCGTAACCATAAAACAAAACATAAAAAAACAAACTCCTGCCTCATTCAGGCACTGACTGCTCTCCCATTAAGTTTTACACATACAGACACACACACACATACACGTTTGTAATTATATTTTTGTGGGGACTCTCCATTTCTTTGGGGAAAACTCGAATCCCAACATGGTGATCTTAAGCCCTACCCAGCCCTAACCTTAACCATAAATAACCAAACAAAATACTTTTGGCATTTTTACTTTTTTGATTTCATTCACAGATCTTTGTGGGGACCTGAAAAATGGTCCCCACAATGTCAAAATAACAGGTTTTTATGACATTGTGGGGGACATTTGGTCCCCACACTGTAATATAAACCTAATCCTCACACATGCACATGTGCACGCACACACACACACACACACACACACACACACATATTCATATCTTTATGGGGACTATCCATTCAATGCTATGGGGAAAAAGTCCAACAATGACAACCTTAACCCCTACCCAGACCTAATCTTTACCATAAATAACCAAACGAAATCTTTTGATATTTTAAGTTTTTTTGTTTGCAATCACAGATTTTTATAAAATTGAATTTCCCCTTGTGTGGGCAGAAAATCCCACAATGTCAAAATAACAGGTTTTTATCACACTGTGTGGACATTTGGTGCCCACAACGTAATATATACATTAGGGCTGTGCGGTATGACGACGTGTATCGGATGACGAAATAAAAACATCTATCATTTCATATTATGTTAGTTTATTTCGTGGTGTCGCAAAATACACTGTTTACATCAACATATTTTCATAATTTGGATGACAGTTTGCAAGGTTACATGCCTCATGGGATCTGGCCCTTGTATGGAAATTTTTATTGGACGTTATTATTTGTAACCCACAGAAGACAATCCACAAATATGTACCGTGATACACAAATACAGTGGTACCTCAGTACTCAACCTCATTAGAACTCGAATTTCTTAAAAGTCGAACCAACCAGAAAAAAAATTACCTAGAACTCGATCTGAATCTCAGAAGTCGAACCGTGAACCCCAACCTAAGATAACTTGCACGCGCGGGGAAATGAGTCACACGGCACGTCTCTAAGTGGAAACAAAGGGTAAAACTTCAATCTCAGCCTCGCATTCGCTGTGATAGCATCGTGCATGTTTACACTAGCTGAATACATATATTTATACAGTAAAAATACATTTAGACAATGATAGTAACAGTAATTATTATATAATAAAATACATTTAAAAATAAAGATTTCTAATTATTTTTATATCTAATAATAAACCATTAATACATTTAATTATAATAATACTGTTGTGCCGAGCGGGGACGGAACGGAGACAAAGGCGCAAACGTCAGGGTATCGGGGAATAGGGGGTTTAATTACAGGTAAGACAGGCAAAACGCAGACGGACAATACAATGACCGGACTGGGGAAACAAACTGAAACACGGACTAATTACAGAGGACTAATGACAACAACCAGAAACATCTGATCACACGGGGATTCCACACGGGGTTAACGAGGGGGCGTGGCACACGGAAGGAGCGGACAATCAGGGCAGGACACATTGATTTATTTATTTATTTTTTTACTTTACACATTGTTTGGATACATTTATTTTGTTACTTTACAAATTACTATTTTGATAAATGTGCTTAGATGTGTTTAGTACAGTATATGCTCTTCTTGTTTTATCCTGTTCATTTTGTGTTTAAATGTTTAAAAAAAAAAAAAAAACATATATAGGTGTAATTTTTTGGGGCCAGGAACCAATTAATTGATTTTCCATTATTTCTTATGGGGAAAATTCAATCAGAACTCAAACTTTTTTGGATTCGAACCAGAGTTCTGAACAGATTAAGTTTAAGTTCTGAGGTACCACTGTATTTAACTATCCACAAATATGTATTTTTTAATTTGTGTTGTGTGAAATCATATCCACAAAAATACAGAGCGATTTGTACATGTTAAACATGTTTTGTACATTTGTGCATCACTTCCCGTCTATTTGTGGATCACATTACATTTGTGACCTTGCTCCTTTTTATTTGAGAATTTTTGTCCAATTCCTACCAAAGCTGATCTGTTGAAAAAAACATAAACATGAGGTGCAGTCGTGATATATATCGTTATCGGGATATGAGAGATTTTAGTCATATCGCACAGCCCTGATACGCATGACCACACACCCACACACACGCACACACACTCACCCTTGACATATAATGTGTTGATCAGAGACACCACCACTAATCACCCCCCCTAGGCCTTCCCTGACCAGAAGGCAGGATAGCGGGTTGCTGACACTTAGCAGCCTAATTACCCCGCATTCGCATTCTCACCACA